TTAATTTATTAATACAACTAGGGTTTTTCCCAAAATTACCAAAGTGCCCCCAATATATCAAATTACTAAAACTTAGAACAAAACTTATAAGGTGGAGTAGGAAATCCCTACCTCGAAGAAATAACCCGAATGGAGAAGACAGAGATGAAGACCCAAATTCCAATGTGCTCTAAATCACCAAACGTTCAGATTAAATGGAAGCCCTCGACTCACTCTAACTTTTTAATAAAGCAACTAGGGTAGAAACACACTCTAAAAAGATCAAACCTAAGAGAGAAGGTGAGTAGAGGGAGAGAGAACTCGTAACTAGGGTTTTGGAATCTGAAAGTGTATGAAAAACTGATCTGAAACACGCTGCTGCCTATTTAAACCTGACAGGCTCGCTCGAGCGAAGACTTGGTCGCTCGAGCGACCAGACACACGAAAACCTCGCTCAAGCGAAGAAAAGCTCGCTCGAGCCAAGAATGTAATGCTTCAGGTCTGCAACCCTAGAGCACGCTCGAGCGACAGAATGCTCGCTCGAGCAAGGAACTCGAAAACATACACCTCGCTCGCTCAAGCGAAGAAAATCTTGCTCGAGCGAATAAGCACTGCCCTCAGGTCTATACCAGACGCAGTCGCTCGCTCGAGCGAAGCAAATCTGGATCGAGCCAGAAGACACAAAAACAAACCTCGCTCGAGCGACCAAATCCTGGCTCGAGCGACCAACCCAAAAACTGGACAGCAACACTTGGTTTACGAACCCAACCAACCTGAAACAAACCTGCCCAACACATCCTATAACTCCAAATGAGAAAATAAAGGACGACAACAACAAATATACACTGACAGAATAAACGGAACCCAAGTCCGGATACAATAATCAAATGAGAAAAGGCCGGGGTCGCTATATCTGCTAAGGAGAGTTAGAGTCCTACTGGGACTGTGCAAACCATCTCACTTGGTTGGTAGTGAGTAGGAGTATGACTCCTAGGAGGACTCTACTAAGGAGAGTAGAGCCCTACTAGGATTGTGCAAAACCATCTCACTTGGTTGGTAGTGAGTAAGGTGTGTGATTCCTAGGAGGACTCTTATAGGGAGAGTTGGAATCCTACTAGGATTGTGCCAAAGTAAAGTCTATAAAAGCTCATGACTAGACCTATGTACAGGTATCCCAATTCTTACTCTAGAATACACAGAGCTTATTGTCTATTGTCTAGTTGCTGACTTAGGCATCGGAGGGGTTTTCGGCACACACCCGCCGGTTAGCTCACGTTTGTGTTTTCAGGTGGCAAAGCAACGTTGTTTGGAGGAGTGCAAACTTGATCAACAGGATCATACAAGAAGAATTATTTCGTGCTCGTACACACATGTATAGATGTCCTATACAAAATTGTTAACTGAATTTGAAACAAAAAGAAATTTTGAATCACATAGAAACAATAACTTTAGATTTTGAATAAGTCTAAGAACACAAAAATGGTTATAGAACTGTACACAAAATGTATATAGATGGATAAAAATTTTCATAATACTAACAAACTCTATAAAATTTTATGCATATATATATGTATTTGTATTCAATTTTATGATCAATTTTGTTTGTTTATAACAAAACTATAATATTTTTAGCTAATGACCCATTTTGATTTACAAGATTTGTAAAGGGGCAATTCCAAAGATTACAGTCATGACAGAGTTTAGAGGAAGATTAGATATATGCACGTGCCTTATTGAGTATCTAGAGACATTATTTCTATGATTTGAATCGATAACACTCGAATTATAATAGAATTATTTTATTTTATATTTTTATCAGCATAATAAAACAAAGGGCCTCCCTCCCTTAATATGATCAATTTCTAAAAGGCATTAACTCCAAATAAATAAACAAATAAATAAATAATAACTCTACACAACCCTTAATTTAGGCAATGATTTAATCGTATGCATCTAAGTGGGAGCAATTTAAAGAACACTTATTTTGTTTTCTTTTGATAAATCTTGATCTATTTTTTAGTATTTTGATAAAGTAGACAAATATATCACACATTTAATTTCTATTTTTTTAGTATTTTTATTTAATAAATAGCATCATGGATTACTAATTTTGAATCTTAAGACATTATGAAGATTCTTGTTTTATTTTTCTCTTCATATAATTTTATAGTATAATTTTAAAACAACTTCATTCTATCAAGTATTGTTTTTATTCAGTGAGATTGGACTAAATTGGACAAGTCATACAAAAATCTTAAATCGTAGTGTAAGTTTTGTATGAAATTATTATTTTTTTCATTGAGTTGAAATAACTCGACTAATTTGGACAATATCAAATAGAGGTTTCAAACATTGTTCTTAATTTTTTAAAACTGGTGATCCAATTCTTGAGATTTATGGACAATTAAAGAGAAGTTACTTTTATTTGCTCAAGCTTGTGCTATTAGGGACTTTAATGACAAAGTTATTTCCTATGTGAAATGGTAACCCTCGTCCACTTTTTAGAGGTCATAGAGGCTTTGTTATGAAATTCAAACAAAAAGCTCATTTTGGCTTGTTTTGAAAAGTAAGAAATTTTTTTAATTTATTTACTCTTTTTTTATTTATTTTAAACATACAAAAAAAAATAGAGAGATAATATAATCAAAATAAACCAATAAATTAATTTTTTTCATGTTCTCAAAAGAGGCTTGTGCCTTGGCTTATGGGCTTATGTTGGTGGTTAAATCTATGTAGTAAATTTTGGATACTAATCCATGTCAATCTATTGGGCCATCCGTAGCAATTATTTGGTACTATGAAACACAGATTTAGCCATAAAAGTGCCATTTTTTCTTTCTTTTCTTCTTACCTAGGAAATTTATATGGACTATTAATTAGAATGTTTTAAGACTCTCTTTTGATGCATTTATTATAATTTTAAATTTAGTCGAGATGTGTATAAATTGACTTAGATACTCAGTTATAAAAGATAAAAATAAAAAATTTGAAAGTTAATAATTATGAGTTGTAATTTTATATTATTTCTAGTAAAGTATGGTGATATTTGAAATCAACTTCTTTTTGTATTCCTAATCATGAGTCGTTTCAAATAGGCCCGCAAATGAGCCGAACTTTTCATGAACAAGCTCGACTGAGCTTGTTAAGGGCTCTGGCTTGGTTTCGTTCAGCTCGAACTCATTTATTTTTATTTAAAACAAAATAAATAACATTAAAAAAATTAGCAAGGCCGAACCGAGTCAAACCTAGAGTTTATTAATATTAATGAGCTCTCATTATGGTTAAAATTAGGTATGCTCCTGTTCAGTTCTCAGTTGAAACTCTCTTATGTGTGTCAAGTTTCTTGAGGTCA